TGAAGACAAGACAGTTTCGAATGCAGATCTCATTGAGCAAGACACGGGTGTGCCGCACATTCAGTTAGATTGGATGTTTTTGGGAAGGTCATGTCCTTCATTGGTTATGTTGGATTGCAGCACTAGGTTTGGAAGCATTTTCCCAGCACCGTCAAAAGGTGTATTCAAATCGGTAGCAGAAGCAATTGTCAAATTTTCTTTGGAGATGAACCATTTGCAGGAAGTCGTTTTTGTGATGGACAGTGAACCGGCGACGATTGGATTACTAGATATGGCAATCACAATCAGACAGCAAATGGGGTACAAAGCAGCAAAGAAGTTTGGCAAGCCATATCACAAAGGGAGAACAGCCCGTGTTGAGAGATTCATTCAGAGCATTAAGAGACAAGCAACAACATTGATGCTGAGTGTCGAGAAACAGGTTGGAATTTTGAGTGACACACATTGCTTGAGGGCTTGGGCTTTGTCACATTCGGTATTCCTTCTGAACAGGTTTCATGAACACACGGCGATCAGGTCAACACCGTATGAGCTTGTTTTCGGCAAGAAGTATGTGGGAAAGATTTTGCCCTATGGTGAATTTGTTTTCGGACTTCGAAAACCAGCTCGGAGTCATGGTACGGCAGTATGGGTTGGAGGAGTTTGGGTTGGCAAGGATTCAGCTGACATGAACGTGTTGCTGACTGCGGGCGGCACGATTCATACTCGTTCGATTCGGAGGTGTGCCAATCCATGGCGTGCAGATGTTGTGGCTTCATTGACCAATTCACCCTGGAGCAAGAGCAAGTCGTCGAGACCTGTTGGATTGTTGGAGGCGCCTATGCCTAGAATAGAGGAATCACAAGAAGGAAAGGTTGAAGGTGAGATACCTTTGTTGCCAAGTGGAGAAGTGGACAAGGATGCAGCAGAAGTTATGGGACTTTTGCAGGAGACGGACAGCTTCGAGTACACACCCTCAGAACCAATGCAAGCAGAAGAGCATGAAGAAAGAAAAGAAACGGTGGAGTTGGAGTGGCCTGACCCTAAAAGGGCAAGACAGGAGGCTTTAGATCAAGAAGAGTTGAAACCATTGAGTTCCGAGGCACGGAGTCTTTTGCTTGGTCTTCCTCTAGGTTCAGGACAACAAGAGGATGTTGAAGTGAGGTCGACTGCTGATAAGCGAGAGACAGATCATGGAGAAGGAGACGAAGAAAGCCGCAAGGTTCCTAGGAGAGAAGGCAGTCCCATGTCGAGTGGTTTGTATTCTCCTTTCTATGCTGGACAAGTGGAAGCTAGAATGCCAGACGATGATGAGCATTGGGAGGAGGACATTGATTGGGACAGTGTTGATTTTGACATTGTGGAGGACATGTGCCACGGAGAGCAGCCACCAGATTTGTCGGAGGCAGATCTTGCAGACCTAGATGGGCAAGCTATGCGTGAAGAAGTTGAGAAGTTGACAGGTATAGGAGTTGTGAAGGTTGTCAAAGACTATGACCGAGATCCGGCAGGCAAGTTTGTTGATTTGAAGGAAGTGTTCGATTGGCGGTACAGGAACGACAAGTGGAAACGCAGGTGCCGCATTGTTGCAAGAGACTTCAAAACAGGTCCGAGCACTTCAGATACATTTTCACCAACGTCGGCCGGAGGGGCAATTCGATTTTTCCTGTTGTTTCATTTGGTATATGGCTGGAAGATTTTGTCGTTAGACATTAGTGATGCCTACCTCATGGTTCCACAGCAGGAGGTGTGCTACGTCCAGGTCCGTGATTGGATCAAGAGTCTCTTGGGTTTGAGCAGTGAAGATCTTTGGGAGTTGAGACGTGTTTTGCCAGGTCAACGAAATGGTGCACAGAGGTGGTTCAATTATTTTTCGGATTTCCTCAAGGAGCTGGGTTTTGTGCAGTGCACAGCTATGCCTTCGGTGATGCGCCACAGTACTAGAAAGGTGGTGATCAACATACATGTTGATGATGAGTTGGTAGCAGCTGAAAACATGGCAGAAGCTCACTGGTTCTTGAATGAACTGCGGAAGAAATTCAAGATACAAGTGGAAGGTCCATTTCCTCAAGGACTTTGTGGAGCCGGTGAAGAAATGAACTATTTGAAGAAGACATATGTTTTCACTAGCGAAGGTATATTGGTAAAACCCAACAAGAAATACATCGAAAGCTTGCTAAGGTTGTATGACATTGGCAATCGAAAGTTCAAACAGGTTCCAGAGCACAATTTGTTGGGGCAGTTGGATTTTTCAGAAGAGCTTGATCAACAGAAGCAGGCATTGTTTAGAAGCGGCTTGGGAGTGGCCATGTACTTGTCCCAGGATCGCATTGATATTCAGTTCTGCGTGAAGAGTTTGGCAAGTTCGATGAAATGCCCGACACAACAAGCAGAGAAGGCATTGATGCAGTTGATTTTGTACCTTGCAGGAACTAGAGATTGGGTGTTCAAGCTACCGTACGTTGAGATTGGAACAAGTTTGGCAAGAACATTGAATACAGGACAACAAGATGAGAGTTCGACTAAGGAGCAACACTTGTTGGAGATATTCTGTGATTCGGATTGGGCAGGCAGCGTTGGCAGGAAGAGCACCACAGCATGCATGATTTTTCTCGATTCGGTGTTGGTGACGTCATTTTCGAGGACGCAGAAATCGATAGCCCTGAGTTCTTGTGAAAGCGAAGTTCTTGCATTGACAGCAGGTTGCAGTGAGGGTATCCTTCTTAGGTCAATCTGGGAGTTCCTTTCGCAGAAGCGGTGCAAGGTGATAGCACGTTCCGACAGTTCAAGTGGCCGGCAGTGGTTGGCTCGTTCAGGAGTCGGCAGACTCAAGCATTTTGACATCAGGTTGTGCTGGCTACAAAGTGCAATAAGGAAACAGGTTCTGGAGGTGGCACCAATTGGAACTAGACTAAATGTCAGTGACCTTAACACCAAGAAGTTGACAGCAGCTCGCAAGAGGTTTCTATTGTTCTTTTTGGGTGCAACTAGATTCGATGAAAGCAGTGGAGCACAAGAGAGCATCGGTGAAGCAGAGTTCATTGAATACATGACGGAGGAAGCATTGAAGGCACAGGTGAGACGACTTGGCAAGCTGGCCAAGAACAAAACAAGCAGAGGAATTTTTCAGGTGGCGATGGCATTGAGTACTTTTGGTTTGAAAGGATGTGTGGAACAAGATGAAAAGAAGGTGGAAGAAACGTTCGAGAACAGTTGGCAGCAGTTCGCATTGACATTGGTTGTGTTGTTGATCATTGCATTATGCAACTTCGTGTTTTCGCATTGGGAAGTGTTGCAGACATTGTTGCAGACGATGCTGGACAGGCGGGGACGAAAGAGAAAACGAGAGCTTGAGATCCCTGACAACGACAACAACGATACAGATGTGGAAGTTGAAGAGTTGGAGGTGCAAACTGGTGAACAAGCCAGTGCAAGCACAGGCCCGGTACCTCCATCCGAGCCGCCGCCTTTGGGCCCACCACCAAGGGCACCGAAGTTTTCTCCAATTCCTGTCGACCCACCTCCTCGGTGGGATCCATGGTCTCCAGAGTGGTTCCTTTACTGGATGCTTGGAAGAGTCAGCGGAAGGTTGCAACGTCGAGGACATTCGATGGATCACAATACATTGCTCAGGTACAATCATCGGCGCGACATTTTGGAGATGCAGCTTGGAATTTTGGAGCAGAACCACAGTGAAGGTGTGAGGCGAAGGGCGCACATGATGTGCCGAGGGATGACAGATCTCTCACCTGATTCAGGTTCATCTGCAGGACCTGAAGTGGAGGAAGATCCAGAGCCGGAGCATGAAGAGGACATTGCAACGCACCGATATGTTGGACCAGAACCGGAGGAGGAGAGCGTTGGAATGCAGGTGCGACGACAACAGTTCAGTACAGCAGCAGCAAGCAGTCAGACAAACAGAGATGAGCAGTTTCGGTCGGAGCTTGATTCAAGTGATGGGTATTTTTACATCATCAAGTTTGCCAGGGCGGAGTTTGGCTATGCCCTCGGCTGGACAGGAACAGCAGGACGATGAAAACGACGATGATGAAGTTGAGGACAGTGAAACACAGTCGCATAGAAGAATGAGGTATATCTATGCTGGAATTGAAGAAGTCAGTGACCCTGAATATTGGCAAGAGTTGCATCATTTCAGCAGTGACGACGAAGCAAGCAACTCAGGAGATGAAGACAACAACAATGACAATTGATTGACAATGGAATTTACAATGTGTTTCTTTTGAGGCGGATGTTCTGTGAAACCATCTGAACCACAGTCATCCAGCAACGAACAGATGTATCGTGTAACAGCTGAACCACGATACATAGATGGCACTACGATTTGAATTCAGGTGAATGTTACATTGGTTGACAACAACAGTTGTTGGAAATGCGTGCAACAGCTGAACCACGCATGTGACATTTGTTGGAGACGAGAATTTGCAATGTTATGCATGGAATAGTGTATGAATGTACACCGGAACGGTGGCTACAAGAGTAGTCGTGGTTGCGAGAGACCGGTTTCAGTTCTGTCTAGTTGATGACAGATCTCGCACAAATAGAGAAGTGTACAATGAAAAGTTGTGTGATGGTTCAACTGATTTCGTTGACCATCAAGGCGGGGTGTTAAAGTTTGATGCACACCGCATGTACACGTATAGAGCCTGTATAGTTTCAAGTCACTTTGATGTGTAGTATCTGTTCTTATCAGATCAACCGCCATAGCGCTCGGGTTCAAAATAAAGCTGCTGCCTAACATCATAGCTAGCTACAGGGAGAATCTTCACACCTGTTGCACGCTTTCCTTTCTATGACACGCTTGCACACATATCCGAAGTATTCTCAATCCTGTTAATGTGAGGAAATCCGACGATGCTGCAGAGATGCCGATGTCTTACTACTGTAGGTTGTGATTGGCATCTGAAGAACACCCAGCTTGAAGCCACTGTCCCTGCAGAAAGGGGGCCAGGTCAATCAGCACGAATTGGTTTCGACCGCTGTTGTGAATGATGCTGCTGAGGATGACTCAAATGCAGCATTTGGGCAAGTGTTGGGAGCAGCTTGTGGTCTTGCTGAAGGCGGGCTTTTGCTTGACCATTTTCTTCCAGCAATTCTAGCATATCATTTGGCCTCTACAGATTGTTGCAGTGTATTGATGTGGTCCTTACACTCCTCCAGCTAAATAGATCTATATAAAATCTTGGGATATGTAGATGTTTGTAAGGAAACTACTCCAAAATCTTCATAATCAAAGGGTTAAAGGAGGGTAGTAGCTCACGTTTACAGATAGAAATTCAGATGTATATTCGATATGCTTGAACTTGGATGTATTTGCCCATTCGTGTCAAAGCTTTGCCTACCAAGTTGGCTAGGCATCGGAGCGCAAGCAGGAAGTTTGCTTGCGACCGCTGCAAGATCTCTGCAAGAAGTTGAGCCTGGCCCTTTGACAGACTGCAAATCTGTGCCAGAAAAGACGGTGGACTGAAGTCATTGCCAAGTCCAAGTGCCAAGCTGCCCAGGCCATCAGAAACGGATTTATTGTGCTTGGTTGGAGGCCCAACTTCACTTCTTTTTAGAGGGTGCAGACGAAGCCTGACAACACGAAGTGTAGCTTAGCTCCGTTGGACTGTGTGACCTGTTCACTTGACTTTGCATTCATGCTCTTTGTGCTTTGAAGGCAGATGGGGCGGCAGCGCGTGGAGGCATCAGTGGATACGGATATGAAAAATGCGTCAACTTACTGTGCACCTGGTGTTCAACTTACACACCTCTCCAGGGTTCTCAGACTTTTCTCAGACTGCGCAGACGTAGTTTTGCAACAATGATATTCAATGATATTCACTTGGTTATGCTGCACAGCTGCACGAAGTGCACGGACTTTGACCAGTCATTTGGTAGGCAGCACATCGCCACTCTTGACAGCTTGGGCTGAGCTGCTCGAAAGCCTGGGGGAGGTCCGCATCATTTTGATGCAGTAAGGTGTTTCTATGTGTTCAGCATTCTTCAACATTGTTTTCCTACCTTTTGTTCACATGTCAAGACGCAAACAGCTCATTGCCAGGCCTTGCTGTGGCGTGGTTCAGGACACAAGCTTCTTGAAAAAAGAGGGGCACCATTTAGCTGCCAGTGAACCAGGTGTTTGCCTGTTCCCGTTCCACAAAACAACACCCGTAGCAAGTTCACATAAGTTCACACCTGTGCGCTACTGTACGCTGCCGCTACTGTTTGTTCTTTTTTTCAACATGGCTGCATTGCTGCGCAGTCGCGGTATCTTGCTCTCAAAGGCCTGTGCTCTGTGTGCAGGACAGGCGGGCACAGCTGCGGCGGAGAAGTTTCATCAGGCGTTTCTCAGACATGCTCGTGCTTTCCCATACACTTTGATGAAAAGAACCTACCGCAGGTCCTTTGGTGATTGATTGATCAATTGATTTATATATATATATATGTATTTATTTATTGATGGATTCATCCCCTAATCTGAAGTTTGTAGCTCCCTTGTGTGCAGGATTGGTATAATTATACAATATTGATTACAGTATAAATAAACATATATATATATATTATTTGAAGAATAACCAAGGGCGCAGGCCTTACACTGTCCACCTTGTTGCATCTTAATCCAAGATCGGGACGTTGAAAACAATGCCACGATTCAATTAACACGTCAAACAAATATTCGGCTCTCTCAGATCCCAGAGATTGTGCTCGAATGTTTGGGTGGAGACTAACTGCAAATTGGCACTTCTATCAGGCCATCTCTTGGTTGATGCATGGCTTCCGGTGGCAGAAGCTTCCGAGGTGTGGTGGCATCGAAGCTTGTCAAGAATTGTCATTGCCGGCTTCAAAGCCTTCTAGTAGCGTCCTTGTTCCTAGTGAGCCCCTAGTAGCGTCCTTTCTCCTAGTAGCTTTCGGGCAATGATAGTATAGTCCAGAGAATGTGGAGCTATGGTATGAGAAATACTGTCTCTTTTTCGGGAGGGAGAACCAACATTACGCTGCAGAAGCCAGGCTCTTGTTGGCTTTGCGTATGCTGGAGTCTTAGCCCTTTTGGATTCACAAGTTGTGTATGAAATCAAGGACAACTGTCCCCATTTTGTTCAGTGAAACCCGAGCAATGAAGCAGTTTGTGGAGAACGGGAGGGTTCAATGTACAAGCCCAAAGGAACTATTTGCAGTGGAGCTTGCCGCCTATCATTTCTTATTGAGTTGTGTACATTGTTGGAATGAAGTGCATCAATTCCATTCCTCATTGCCTGGTGGATGAATCCTTCGACCCAGTTTGATTTGGCTGCAGGCTGTCTCTCCGCTTCTTGGGAGTTAGACCCATCGACCTGAAGCAGGAGATGCTGTGTCCAAGAGCCCAGTCGGTCCACTCCACTGCGTTCGTTTTAGTCACAGGAGGAGGAGACCCTCACGGTGGCTTGGCTTCTTGATGAGAGCCACGACTTCGTGTCCTGACCTCTGCCAAGGTGCAAGTTGCCTTGACTTGGTAACACAGGTTTATGTTACAACGATGAGAAGCTTCATTCACCTTGCCGTGGGAACCGTGCCGCACTCTTGATCTTGAGGTCGCTGTTTGACCAATGTGAAGCGAACTACTCGAAATTGTCATGGCCGGGCAGCAACAGGCAAGACCTAGCTTTATGGAAGCAACAATCTACTTTCTGCAATGCAAGGGGTTTACTCGACAGCTTTGGCGCTGGGCAGGTGCTGTAAGGAGCGTGTAAAACAAGTGCTTCTTCTGAGCGATATGAAGTTTAGGGGGTCTTCTAATCACGATAGTAAAATATAGACAACGACAAGGATACTATTACTTTGACTAGAATTGAATAGCATCACGACAAGCATGTAGATGCACATCTATGTCTTGGGGAAACCTGTAAACCAGTTTGCTTATTTGAACGTGTTTTTTGGTTTACGCTTCAGAGCTACTTTCTAGCACCCCATACACACACACACACACCAGCTTCAGAGGCATTTTCTAGCACGCACACACCAGCTTCAGAGCTACTTTCTAGCACACACACACACCAGCTTCAGAGCTACTTTCTAGCACGCAAACACACCAGCTTTAGAGCTACTTTCTAGCACACACACACACACCAGAGCTACTTTCTAGCGCACAAACACACCAGCTTCAGAGCTACTTTCTAGCACACAAACACACCAGCTTCAGACCTATTTTCTAACACACCCTTTCTAGATCTTTCTAGCACCAGGTTTGCACAAAACCCATCTTCATCCAAAAAAAGTTTCGGGATACAGAACTGCTTGCGAGCACCTGATAGACCAGGTTTGTCCATAACCAGTTTTAGGCTCCAGGCTTGCTTTTTGGCACCAGACACACCGGCTTTTGTCCAAAGAAGAGCTTTGTCTCAAAAACCAGTTTCGGGATACAGAATTGGAATCTAGCACCAGACACACCGACTCTTGTCCAAACAGCAGCTGTGTCCCAAAAACCAGTTTTGGGATACAGAACTGGTTTCTAGCACCAGACACACTAGCTTTGTCCATCTTTAGCACCACGCGCATGGATGATTCTTCGCCGATGGTTAACATATGAGGATGTCGATGTAGCTCAGATTGAAAAGAAGCAAGGTGAGAGCCTGGCTGACATTTTGCGGCCAGCTGCCAGACATTGGGCTTTTGCCCATGGAGAGGTGATCGGGGGCCTTTCGACGCCACGCAAGGTGGCGAAAGAAACTTCTGTTAGGAAAGGTCTTCAGGCTTGAAGTGGATGGCGAGGGCAATTCAATCAGCCTTCGTGTCGGGCAAGCTGGCCACTGCCACGGCGAGGCTGGGAAAACACGGGAGCTGTCCACAAATAGTCAGGCTAGCTTGACTGTGGATGACCGACGGCGAATCCTGCAGCAGCCAGATTGTTTGTTGGAGGACGGTCTCTCGGTGACACCGCGTGGTGTCATTCTTCGAATGGGCAGTCCGCCTGTAGATAGCAAGCATGTGAAACGCGTTTTGGCCTGGTGTCGCAAGAAGCTGGGCAAGTCCACTGTTGTGCTACGTGAGTCTGAAACAGACTTTGTGGAATACAGTGAGAAGTGGAAGGACCCAGACAGTGGGTCACTTTTTACTCGCATCTTCTCTTGGACAATCTTGTTCACCCCATTTTTGCTGCATCTTTCCAGTCTTCAGCAAGATGGCCGCCTTGAGGGCCTGTATCTGGGGGCAGACTGGACATTTCGGATCGACTTCTTCAACTTCAGTTGCTGGACACACATTATGAAGCTCATAGCCCTAAATTTTTTGCGGGGTAAATAGAGAGCCTATTAAACAGTATTTTTATATTTCTCGCAGCGCTAGTCTGGTTCGTCTTGTCGTGTGACAAGGCTTGGGAGTCATTGCAGCGATTGTCAAAAGGAAGCTGAAGAAGACTTGGCGGTCGACACCATGGCCGCTAGCAGCAGTCTTGACGCACAGTGAGGAGACCAGTGGCTATGAGCAAGGGTTCCAATGTCTGGCCGAAGGTCTCAAACGATATGGGCTGCCTGCAGGGCTGGTATCGGCTCCCCCCAAGGGTCATCTGATTGTCGGGCACCTAGGTGGACTTCCAACTACAAGGGACGCTGGCCCATGCCCACTCCAGCGCCGCTCCAGGCAAGAGCCACCGCGTTGTTCACACCGCCTGAGGAGCGCCGCGCCATGCTTCCACCTGGCATTTGTTGTGAATGTCCGGCGCCTGGACAGGTTCGGGGCATCACCTGGAGCCAGCAGATATGTTGACTAGCCAGACGGTGAATCCCCCGCACATCTTTGGGGGGGGCCCTTGTTTCCTGATGTTTTTGCCAGGGCCGCCCGAAGAAGAAGCGCGGCCGGTACCTGGGATGCCCCGTGCGTGGGTACACGCAAGGCAAGAAGGCCGAGGAAGAAATTCGGAAGTAGCAGAGGTCCACCGACCTCTTGATTCCGAAGAAGCCTTTTGCTCGCTTGGTCAAAGACGTTGCTCAGCAAGTTGCGCCTGATGCCGTGCTTGCGCCCGATGCCGTGCTGATGCTTCAAGTTGTCTCAGAGAGCTTGTGCGTGGAGATCTTGGGCGCCAACCAGAGGATGGTAGAGGAATGTGGCCGAAGGAGTGTTTGTGCGAAAGATGTGCCCTCCACGTACCACTTCATGAACGGTGTCAGCCACCACCTCAATATTGTGAAGGAGACGAGGAGCGAATCCGCATCTTGATGGACGAGGAGCAGAAGAAGGGCAAGAAGCGTAAGCTGTGACCTTGTGGGGGTGAGAAAAAAGTGTGTTGGCCGCTTCTCCTGCACCTGGAAGCCAGTTTGGTGGCCTTAAACTGCTTTCTGGTGTCTTGGGTTGAGTTGTCCTCGTAGTCGTCGTGGCTTCGCTGTTCCTTGTCGTGGAAAGGTTTTTTTCGCGGAAGCTGGCCACCCTCGATATGAAGCGCTTCGCTTTTGTTATGCAGTGCCCTGCTGTGTTGGCTGCTGCGTAGAATGCTGGCTAGGTTGCTTCGCTGCAGTGCAGCCTTGATGTGTGTTGTGACTTTGCGTCGCCTGACCTGGTTGATGGCCTTTCGCTGTAAGGTGCCTCCCTTCTCAACTGAAGCTTAAATTCAATCATGCAGCCTTTGGATGTTGGGTGCTGGCCCTCGGAATGCTGCTTGTCCAAGCGCCACGCCGTTGGAATTGCGTTTTGTTCCAAGTGGCATTCCTGAAACGCATTGCTTAATCTATAGTATAGTATGCAAAATTGTGGCTATTGCGGCTTGCGCAGTGCAACACATTCTCAACTAACGTTTCAACAACCACGATCCAGTATGACGTCATATGACACTGAGAGCGGCAGCTTTTGCATCATGCAACAAATATCGTCCAAAGGCGTGCTCGCTTCTCTGGAAAATTGCGCGAAGGACAAGTCGTTGTTGGGTGCTGAGAAGCGGAGTTTGAGAGCGTCAAGTTTCATGAGGTTTGAACATGATGGCCTCCAACCTAAGAGCAAGGAAGCTACTAGGGGCTCCTGGCATTGCCACTAGGAGCAAGGAAGCTACTAGCGGCTCCTGGCCTTACTACTAGGAGCAAGGACGCTATTAGGAGCTCCTGGCCTCCAACCTAAGAGCACTGACAGCCAACGGCTATCAATAGCTATCATGTGGCGTGCGCACGAAATCTTATGTGCTGGACATTCGGAGGTGGATGTGGACAGCAGCATTGTTTTCGGGCTTCGGTTGCGACGTTACGGTCCCAGTGGAGATATGCTCGAAATGGAGGCAGGCTCTGACCTGCTGTGATGTTGAGCCATCGAGCCCTTGTTTGCGAAACATGTATGGCGGCTACTATGCCTAGTGTATTGCGCTCATTCTGATTGTGCAGGGGTTGGCTTTCGCTCCAGTTGCGATCGTTTAGAGTACACATTAGCCTCAACTGCAGCAAGACAGGTGCCTCCTTTTGCTGGACCATGCAGGTGCTATGCTTGTTGCATCTCACACCCCCCAAGCGCTTGACACACTTGTGCCCATGTATCGCTTTGATTTGACTGTTGCAGTCTGGTTTGCTTGATGCAGAATAAGCTCAGCGAACCAGGTCCGGCAGGCGGCGGCTCTTCTGTCCTGTGCCAAGTCTTTGCTCAGCTGCAATTTGCCTTCAGCAGCCTCCCAAGTTCAAGGGCAGAAGCAGCAAAGAGGGACACACACACACACACCCGCACACACCCGCACACACACACGCACCCACACACACACGCACACGCGCGCACGCCCACACATGCACGCGCGCGCGCGCACTCTGACATTGGCTTTCAGTTAACTCAGTTCCCAGGTCAAAAATGGCGAAGGAACGGCAGGGTGAAAGGTCCGAAAAGTTGAAGGCGTTTGAACAAAGGCTGTTTCTCAAGTCTGCAGAAAGTCGGCGGTGGCGAAAACGAGCGGCGCAGCTGACGGCGGCAAACGAAAAAAGTTTAAGGGGTAGGTATCATGAAGGACCATGAATCAATCTGATCAAATTGGACAGCGTATTCAACAGGTGTAGCAGGTACGTTTGCAGCCCCCCCC